TTTTTTTTTTTAATAATAGTTAATATTTCTATTGCAATAGTTACATATCACATTTTTGTTTTAACGGGAAAGAACAAAGTTATATCTCGAGAAGTAGTATATATATATATATGTATATATATATATAATATTAATGACCGTCCTCGTCGTCTCTCGTTCGTCGGCGTTATCGTTGGCGTCGTCCCGATCGTAATCATCGCCGCTCGTCAGGGTGGCGTGGTCGTCGATACATACGTATACGTCCACGTACGTATACGCATGTATACGAAGAACGAGCACGCGTTATCAGGGTCGCGAACACGTCCCTCGCGGATCGCGGTCGCGTTCTACGTTTCCGATTGGCTGGGCCAATCGCGAGGCCGGAGCGTTTTCGGTCACATTCGCGGCGCCTCCACTTAATGGCCGACCGCCTCGCGCATAAATAGATATCGCGTAATAACATATATGTATATACGTGTATATATAATTATATACATATATATCCATCATCTTTATCAATCTCGGACACGCGCGGTCCCCGCGTCGTCCCTCTCTCTCCTTCCGACCTGCTCTCTCAGGACTTTCTCGACTTGATTTCGTCGACAACCTCGACGTTAAGTCCTAACCTATACGTAGATGCTGTAAATGTTGCACGCTCTCCGCATCATTCGCTCCCTCTTTCTCTCTCTCACACTCCCTACATATCATTCCCTCCCATTCTCTCTCTCTCTCACTCGGCCACTCGCGCACATTCTCTCGCAAGCATTGGAAGACAATAGTAATTAGCCCCTAATTTTTAATTTCGTTCGCGTAATCTTTGATTCTAACACGATATATAAATATATATATCTCTCTCTCGGCGGGTCTCCGTTCCCCTCGTTTCCTCGTTTTCGCTCCCTCTCTTTCCGTCTCTTCGCCCCCTCGGGGGGTGAGCATGGAGCGTCGCGACGCCTCTCTTCCTCCCCCGTCTCCTATCCCTTCGGGGGAGAGAAACGGAAAGGGCGAGAGTACCGGTCCTCGTAGCGAAAACCGTGGAAAAGAGCGGGAGAGGGAGAGGCTTAAAAGCGAGACAAAGGGGGAGTGAGTTCTTCTCGAAGGAGAGCGAAACTCGTTTGCGCCCCTTCCCTCTCTTTCTCTCGCTCTCCTTCGATATATATATATATCTCTCTCTCTCCCCCGTCTGGGAGCGTAGCCGGACTCGCTTTCGTTTCTTTCTTAACCTACATAAAAACGTCCTCCGCGTCGATATCGTCAACGGTAAGGATAACCGCGGCCACTCCGTAAAACGACGAGAAGAGGCCGAGCGTAATGGAGTACCAGATAACGTTAATGGTGGGTGGGTGGGTGGCGTTCGCGTACTCGGGGTGGACAGAGGCGGACGAAGGGCGGGCTTTTCGAATTCGTCCGCCGAGGAAACCGCGGCCGGCCCGTCGAGGCGGGGAAGAAAGGACGACGGGGAGAGAGTAGGCGACCCTAAGGGAGAGAAACGAAACCCCTCGGTCGCCTCGCCCCGGGACCTCCCCCAAGGGTCGGAAATCCGGGGGCGAGGTGGCCGCGCATGCAACGGGGGGCGCCTAATTCGTACGTCGAGCGACGCGAAGTCGTCTTCGCGATCCTCGTTAAAAAGGAAAAAAAAAAATTAAACTGCAAAAAGTCGGGCCGCATAAAAGGATATAACTAAAAAGAGGACGTGCGAGAAAGAGTCCCTTTCCTCTGTCGCGTCAACTCTCCCCCGTGTTACGAGACGCTCGTCCAATCGAAACTAGAACGCGGCCATTTTCCTTTCTCCCCGCTCGAAGAGTGCCGTTGATTGGAAATTAAAAGAAAATGAGGAAATCGCGTCACCCTTAGTCGCCGATCGCGGATCACCATAAAATGGAAAAGGAAATAGAATTTCACCCGATCCTCCCTTTTTCGCTGCCCATCCCCCTCGCTTGCCAGGCCTCCGTTCTCGCGATCATTGTTCGTCGACTTTGCCGCGTCTTGGCGGGAGAAAAAAAAAACAATATGCTCAAAAATAAAAGCGCATCTTAAAGGGGAAAAAAAAAAAGAAGCCGCGCGCCTCTTTATCCGTTCTTGCAAAATTTGGCGAATCGCGTGGACGGAGACCTCGCGTGCAATGAGTTAAAGCAGAACCGAGGAGAACCAAGGAGAAGAGATGAACGGTATCCGAATGGCGTAAAAAAGGAAAATTAAATAATCGTTAAATACATTTATATATAGAGAGAGAGATAGACGTTGGAAGGGTTGGTGTCGGGTCGTCGATAAATTAGAGGGCAGGGCCTTTTTTTCTCTTTTTCGCTTTGTCCGTGAGTCTACGAGGGTTCGCGATAACCCTTTCGTCGAGCCAGAGCAACGCTGACAACGTCACGCACACGTGGGTAAATGTGTGAACAACTATTTAACAATGGCAGTACCCGATAGCAAAATGATGCGCGGCTACGGAAGTGCGTAGGTATGGAGGATTATCGATAATAACGATAATTATCGGGTGTTCGAGGGGCGGAAGATAATAGTAGAAGAAATGAAAAGTAATCGATGGCGGAGGAGGGAGGAAAAGAAAAGGCTCGAAGGTAACGGGGATTTCAGGTCGGTTCCTCGGTTTGCAATTCTTAGGAAGGTAATTAAACGAAGTGTATGAACAATGTGGAGGGTGATAATAAAAAGTAACGGGTCCCGATGGCATAATATAGGAGGGGCGGATTAGTGGCAGCGGGGGGGGTAGTAAAAGTACCGGAGGGTGGGGCGGTGGTCGGACACTAGTAACGGTGTGGCGGTAATAGCGATAATAGTTAATAATAATATTAATAATAAACTAAATCTATAATAACATTTGCTTCAAATATAAATAAAACGAAAACACTTTCTGCTCTTTCCATTTAAATGTAAAAGAAGTATATATACAAAATGTAATCGATTTTCGGAAACCACGTCGCGCTCAGGCACACCCGCTCTCTTTCTCTCTTCCATATAAGCCATTCTCTCACCTCCTATCTCCTGTCCACTAGTATTTCTCTCTCTTTCCCTCCCATCTCCTATTCCCGCGAAATGTGCTTGGCAGAGGTATAATAAACGGCGCAAGGAGGGGGTCAGGGCGTCGAGACCAGGGAGAGAATTGGAAACCAAAAAAAAAAAAGAGAGAGAGAGAGAGGAATAAAGAAATAAAAAAAAAAGAAAGTCATCTCGTCCACTCTCTAATCTCGCCCTTTATCACTCGTTCCCTCCCAACGCCCAGTCTCGCCCCCGCCTCCCTCCCGCGCACCTCCCGACGTCTCTCCCCCATATCTCGCGCGTATTAATAGAATATGTTTTTTTTTTTTAATAATAGTTAATATTTCTATTGCAATAGTTACATATCACATTTTTGTTTTAACGGGAAAGAACAAAGTTATATCTCGAGAAGTAGTATATATATATATATGTATATATATATATAATATTAATGACCGTCCTCGTCGTCTCTCGTTCGTCGGCGTTATCGTTGGCGTCGTCCCGATCGTAATCATCGCCGCTCGTCAGGGTGGCGTGGTCGTCGATACATACGTATACGTCCACGTACGTATACGCATGTATACGAAGAACGAGCACGCGTTATCAGGGTCGCGAACACGTCCCTCGCGGATCGCGGTCGCGTTCTACGTTTCCGATTGGCTGGGCCAATCGCGAGGCCGGAGCGTTTTCGGTCACATTCGCGGCGCCTCCACTTAATGGCCGACCGCCTCGCGCATAAATAGATATCGCGTAATAACATATATGTATATACGTGTATATATAATTATATACATATATATCCATCATCTTTATCAATCTCGGACACGCGCGGTCCCCGCGTCGTCCCTCTCTCTCCTTCCGACCTGCTCTCTCAGGACTTTCTCGACTTGATTTCGTCGACAACCTCGACGTTAAGTCCTAACCTATACGTAGATGCTGTAAATGTTGCACGCTCTCCGCATCATTCGCTCCCTCTTTCTCTCTCTCACACTCCCTACATATCATTCCCTCCCATTCTCTCTCTCTCTCACTCGGCCACTCGCGCACATTCTCTCGCAAGCATTGGAAGACAATAGTAATTAGCCCCTAATTTTTAATTTCGTTCGCGTAATCTTTGATTCTAACACGATATATAAATATATATATCTCTCTCTCGGCGGGTCTCCGTTCCCCTCGTTTCCTCGTTTTCGCTCCCTCTCTTTCCGTCTCTTCGCCCCCTCGGGGGGTGAGCATGGAGCGTCGCGACGCCTCTCTTCCTCCCCCGTCTCCTATCCCTTCGGGGGAGAGAAACGGAAAGGGCGAGAGTACCGGTCCTCGTAGCGAAAACCGTGGAAAAGAGCGGGAGAGGGAGAGGCTTAAAAGCGAGACAAAGGGGGAGTGAGTTCTTCTCGAAGGAGAGCGAAACTCGTTTGCGCCCCTTCCCTCTCTTTCTCTCGCTCTCCTTCGATATATATATATATCTCTCTCTCTCCCCCGTCTGGGAGCGTAGCCGGACTCGCTTTCGTTTCTTTCTTAACCTACATAAAAACGTCCTCCGCGTCGATATCGTCAACGGTAAGGATAACCGCGGCCACTCCGTAAAACGACGAGAAGAGGCCGAGCGTAATGGAGTACCAGATAACGTTAATAATATTAATAATAGATAATAGAATAATAATAGCTGGATAGCGATAATAATAGATGGGTAAGAAAGGAGTAATAAGAAGCCGGGCCTGGCTCTGGGCCGCGAGAAACGCGTGGAGTCAAAATAAGAAAAAGGAGATTAAAAAAAAAAAAAGAAAAGAAAAATATGACGACGAAGGGGAAAACCCGCGGATGCGCCAAAGAAGGGCGAAGGAAACTCCGAGAGTCGCGATACGGAGAACCTAACGAAAGGCGCGGCTAGAATCGTCATTCTCGTCAGGAAGGCTAAAGAACACACCGGAGAGACCCTTAACGCTGGACGTCGCGTCCCTCCGTCGGCGCGCCGACGTCCAGCCGGTCCCCGAGGTGCCTCGTCCACGTGTCCCCTGGCATCAGGATGGGTCGCTCGGCCCCTAGATCTTGAGGTTCTCGAAGTCGCCGAGCGTACTGCTGATCCTGTTGAAGACCGGCAGACGGGACTCGGCGTTGGGGGAGAGCGGCGAGGGCGTCCTGGGGGACAGGTCGTCGGAGATCGGGCTGCAGACGCCCCCCTGGGGGCTGGGGCTCTGCCTTGCGAGGAGTCCGAAGTCCTGGCCGAAGCTGAAGGGCGTGGTGGGGACGTTCTCGTCGTTGAAGAAGCTGGCCATAGAGTTCGTGGGTGACTGGCTCAGGCTGGACGAGGGAGATACGGAGTCGGCCGTGCTGCCCAGCGAGAAGGTGGGGCTCAGGTTCAGAGGCTTGGGCCTGGCCCCGACGACCTGGGACTGAGGGTGCCCGTGGCTGGGCGCCAGGCTCAGGCTGTTCGCCCTGAGGAGCGGCGGGTTGTAGGGAGCGCTCCCGGCGCCGGCCGTTCCGGCCAGGCTGAGCGAGGCGGTCCTCATCAGAGGGGCGGCAGCCTGTGCCTGAGCCTGGGGAGGCGCGATCTGCTCCAGGAGGCCCGCGTTCACGGAGCCCTGGGCCGCGTGGGCGGCGTGGTGGGCCGCGTGGGCGGCATGGGCCGCGTGGTGGGCCGCGTGGGCCGCGTGGGCCGCGTGCGTCCCGCCCGCCAGGATCGGGCTCAGGCCCATGATGTTGGGCTGCGTCGAGCCCAGCTGGGCGCTGACCTTCTGGTTGTGGATCCGGGCCTCCTCGAAGTTGTGGATGAAGTGGCACCGCGGTCCGTACGGGCAGAACCCGATCGTGTGGAAGGTGCGGCACAGCTCGGTCTTGTACTTGGGGTGCCTCGCCAGGTTCCGCAGCTCCATGTAACCGTGGGCGAACTGGCACTTGTCGCCGTACTTGCAGGCCCCGTTCTCCTCGAAGGGCCGGCAGAGCTCCGTCTTGTAGCGCGACGTCGGCTCGCTGACGCTGCGGTCCAGCTTGCGGTGCTGCTCGATCAGCGTCACCAGGGAGGTGTAGCTGCGCCTCAGGGGAGCGTGGTTCGCCTGCTCCTTCGGCTTCGACTGGGAGGCGTTCTGCAACACACCAAACGACCCGGGTTTTAACAGAGGTATCGTCGGGGACCAAGTGCCGATAGGACCCGGAAGTATCTTCCTTCCGGGTGCACTTGACGCGAAGAAAAAAAAAAAAAAGACTCGATAAATCTCCAATAGAACTAAATTCCCAAAAATAATTCCGGGATCCCGATCCGCGAGTAAAATATCCCCGGAGGATCAATGGACGGAGGGGACCCTTCTCGAGGAGAAACCCGCGCCTTGATTAGGATTTTCGGAAACAATGGTCCGGGGTTACCGTTAGGCTCCGAAATATCAGGTAGAGAGGCCCGCTTTGTGAGGGAGGAGTCCTGGGGCCCCGTAAAGGTGGTTTACGGTCGGGGCCTTACCTGGCCGATATCCCCGATCCCTCGGGGTCCATCGGAAAACCCGGCCTCGGCTAGGTGGGGGTAACCACTTTCCACGGATCTCCTCTCGGGATCTCCGGAGAAAGTCCCCGGCGACGCCGCGGACCCTCGAGAGCGAGACGTGCCCCTTTTATTTCGGATCGATCGGAAATTACGAAAATGACACGCTTACCCGTAGATATTTTTCCTTGTCGGGACTTTTCCCGAGTCGCCTCCCTTAAGGTGATGTGAATCGGAAACGATGATTCGGACAGTTTGGTCTAATACCCTTAAAAAAAAAAAAAGTGTTGTACTCGAATCGACTGATTTGAAGGGTGTTTCACTTCACCTTAAGGCATCGCGCCTCTTGATCGAAGTCCCCTTAGCGGGTTCGCGGGTTTCGCAACGACCAGCGCGGTAAAAAAGCGCCTAGGAATCCGTACCTTACGAGTCGGGGCTCGATCGTCGCTTTCTAACGAGTGGGCACGCATCGGTCGTCGACTTTTCGCCGTCGAGACGGGGGAGAGGGGATAATCGAAAAAGAGCCTACGCGTCCCGTCCGCATCCGTAATATCTCCGGACCAGATACATCCGGCTGGCTCTCGGGATAGGAGAGAAGCGCTTTCTCGAAAAGACTTCCTCGGTCCTCGACGCTCGTTAAAAGGCCCAATCTTAGGCCCCAACGGGCCCCGAGAGAGAGATAGAAAGTCCTCCGAGACGATTCCACGGTAATTTCGCGTAACCCCAAATTATAAATTCCGTCGTAACCGCGCCCTTCGTTGACAGACCAGGGTGCCTCATTTTCCGTGCAACGATCGGCTCCGAGTCCTCGGTTGTCCCGTTCGAGATTGATCGACGGAGATCGGGGGGTGCGGAAAAAATTGTTTTCCCTGCCCGTGGACGGTCCATCGGGATCCCGGGGGACCACGTGGGGGAAGTGGACGGACGGCTTCGAGGAGAGAAACGATCGAGCGTCGAAAGTAAAAGCGGGACGTAAGAGCGCCGACACAGATCGGTGAAATTTCTCCCGCGAGTGGAGTCGCCTTCCTCGGCCCGATCGAAAACGAAACTCCTTTCCTCCGGTTTTTTTCCCCTTTCTCTCTTTCCCCCTCCGCCCATTTTTCCCCCCCGCGCCCCTCTAGGCGTTTACCTCGCGTATCGTAAATCACGGCCGCGACGCTCGTTACGTAAACTCCCGGCCACGAAGAGTGAAATTGCCTACGAACGGAAGAGGCCTCCAGTCGAGATATCTCTCGACGTCCCTTGACGAGGTGAAACGACCTCCAGCGGCCCGACCGGCTCTGAATTACTCGAATTACCCCGAGTTACGCGAGTTGCGCGAATTATTTTCTGCGCCGATGCGCCGGCCAGGCGGAGAGGCGTCCTTCCTCGCCTTCCCATAGTTTAGATTTTTCGACAGGGATTTAAAATCCCGGGTACGCGATCTACCCGATATCACGAAACGAGAGGTAAAAGCCGGGGACGAGTAAGCAGCAAGGAAAAAAAAAAAAAATAAAAGAGGAACTTTCCCTCGTCGACGCCGCCTCGTGTCGCAACGTCCATTAACCCGTCCGCGGGACAAATCGAGATGATCGGCGGTGCACCGAATCGAAAGGCGTTTACGAGAGGTGGAAAGAAATAAAAAAAAAAATATCAAGAAGGAAGAATCGATCGAGATGTGATTTTGGATGTCTTGGTTACGTCGAGCGACCCGTCGCTCCTCCTGCGGCCGATTTTTCTCTTCTTCCTTTCTCTTTAACCCTCGCGACCGAAAACGTCTATTCTCGGCTCCGGGCCGGGATATCTGCCTTTCCGCGAGGTAGTGACGTCACGCACCCGCGGGAAATGATGGATAGTCGTAAGGTCGATATTTTTGAAGCGGCATTGGTGCCGGGCGCACGCCTTCCCGCCGCTAATTGCGAGATTTCGCGCGAGTGGAGTCGCGGCTCGCCTCGGAACTCGCCGCGAGTAGGGCGAAAACTAATCCCCAGGGGAGTTCTTCGTCGAAACGGAGGAATGGAGAGGTCCCGCCGCGAGGAAGGCGTCCGTCATGCTTTCTCCCCGACGACGGCGGCCGAGACGCGCCTCGGGAGCGTCTTTATTCGCCAATGGTCGTCATTGTTCTCGCCATTGTCGGTGCTCGTTAACCGTGCGATCCGTTCCGGCCGAGATCGAAAGAGTTTCGGGGGCCCCAAGGGCGAACGATCGCCGGCAATACCTCTCTGACATTTTAACCGGGAATTATCGCGTCGAGATTTCCCAATGATTTTTCTTTTTTTTCTTTTCCGCCCGGCGTAAAAGAAAAATGCTCGGCCGACCTCCGCGTCGTAAAATCGCCACGAGCGACCCGGTACGACGACGGTTCTCGAGGGAGAAGACCCCGCGACTTTTCCGCGGCGTTTCGACCGTCGAGCACGCGCACATCTCGAGAGAGAGAGAGAGACCGAGCTTAACGATCGCGTCAAGACTTCATCCAAAAATATTCCCGCAAAACTCTCCCGGCACATCCCGGGGTCGGCGGTGATTCACCCTGTACACTCGGTGGCAACGACCAGGCCAGAAATCACGCGGACGGATTTACTCGCCTCGGCCACGCGAATCGTCGTCGCCGTTATCGCCGACGCCCCCTCTCCATCCCGGACCCCGAGTTTTCCTTTGTCCCTCGTGGGCGAATTTCCGGCCGGCCGGGAAAAGCGGAGAAAAAAAAATTAAGTACGGCCGTAAAACAAAGAAAAATCGCCCGTAACGATCGTGTGCCCGTCGAGGAGAGTCGCGTTGCCGCGTCGAAAGCGCGTCCGATGACACGCTGGAAATCGAAAGCACCGCCCTCGCTCCCTGAATGGATGCGCTTCACGCCCTGATTCTTATGTAACGCACGGTAGTCGGGTTAATTATTCGATCAGAAATTAAACGGAGCCGGGTGCGCCGAGCCGACGTAAAACGGCTCGACGTCCGTCTCGCGTTTTCCCCGGATTTATGATCGGGATTAATCGACGCGAGTGGATATCCCCGGAGGCTCGCCAAAGAGCAAACGGAAGGACGGAAAAATCTCCGCGCGTTCCAGAGCCGGGGAATAATTCCCCACAAATGCCGAGCAATATTTAAAGAGAAGCCCAGCAATTAACGACCCTTCCATTGTCGCGACGCTCGACCAGCGCCGACAGCGAGAGTCGGCAAGGGTCCCGGACGTTAAACGACGGCGACGGATTTAATTACGCCCCTCAGTTATCGTAAATTAATCGGAGCATCCGCGGGGACCAATTAACGCACCGCCGCGAGGTTTAATTGCCCCGGCGATTGGACTTCTTCTCTCTACTGGATCGATACTCCGCGATCTCGTTCCTTTTTCCCAACGGAGCAGCCGATCCGAGGCCGCGGTTTAGCGGAGGAACAATGAAAACAGACGTCTCTCGGTTGGCATACGCCTCCATGCCGACAAAGAACCGGCAGGATCCCGAGCAAACGGCGAAAAACCCGAGCGTCCACGTGGCGGGGGCGGCAGCTGTCAAAATCAGCTGATCGGCGGCGCGCGCACCGCCGCCCGAGTCCCCGGCTCTCGCGGTGACGCTCCGCCCGCGACCAGCGGTTTTTCCTCCCCCTCGTTGACGGAATCACCGCACCCGGTGATCGCGGATCCCTGTAAATAGCGTCGCGACGCAAAGTAAACGTCCAAGCGTCCGCTGACGCGGAGCAAGTCCGTAAAAAATAAAAATAAAAAAAAAGTACCGACCAAAGGAGACGGACCGCGTCCAAACTCGGGAGATTTTCCGCGTTCCCGCGCGTGCTCCTTTACAAAATTCCCGAATACCCCGGGAAAATCGCCCGGACGAGTGGCGGGGAGATCCGCCCGGTGGTTGGCGTAATCCGCAGGCGGGATTTCTAAACCCGCCTCGCGGGAAAGTGCCACTCGCGCGTTCGCCGCTCCACAAGAGCGATTCGGTGAGCGGAGGCGAGCGGTCGTGGGTCGACGTAGGTTTTCCTGCCGCGCGCGTTTTCCTCCTCGCGGGGACGGAAACCGCGGCCGCAGAGGCCTGATTCAGGCCCCGCGCTCTCGAGGTCTTTTTCTCGGGGAACAAAGCACGAGACCCATGTGCACGTGCACTCGCATTTGCGTACGTGGACGCGTATGCATCCGCCTGCGCTCACTCGTGTGCGCGTGCATACACGCAAGTAGGGGGGGCCTCTCGACGACGGCCGCGCGTTTCGCCTCGCGGTTTCGGCCTAAGGTTTAAGCCGGTGTTACGCGTGACGGTGCCGAAAGCAGGAACTGAAACCCCTTATACCCACGTATGGCAAAAAACTGAAGTGAAGAAAAAAAATAAATAAAAAATTGACAATAAAGTAGAGCGAGACCAAAGACCCGAGGATTCCTTTGGCGAGGCGTCAGGTGCGCGCATTCAATCAATTAAAAGTTAATGAGATACATAAAAGCTTCAAACTTACGAGGCCGAGGTTAGGAGTGCGCAGGATTGCCAGGTTTTCTTTCAGATTCGGAGACGGAGAGAAATATCTTGAGCCATTCTGCAAATAGGATAAAAGCAAGCCATGTAGTCAATTGGTTAGTGGTGCACGTGTTAAACATGAATCAGAGCGACGAAGGAGAGCGAGAGCGTCGCGAGGAGATAATGGCCGGTAGGCGAAAGATAACGTAACGATCGATTCTTGGGCCAGAGACGGAAAATCTCGCAACGAAGCCCTCAAAACGTGTCAGGAAAAAAAAAACGAAAAGAAAAACTATTTTTCCACCATTCTCGAACCGAAGGCCGCGATCGCGCCGTGCGTTCCGCGAAACCGGCAAAAACGAAGAGAGAGAGAGAGAGAGAGAGAGAGAAACACCTCGCGCGTAATCGCGAGGAGTCGCTCGAGGTTTTTACGTAAACCGGGAGAGAGAGAAGCAAAAAAAAAAATGAAAAAGGTGAGGGAACAGGAGAAAAAAAAACTCGCAAAGAGAAGAAGAAGGTCGTAAATCTCGAAAGGCGCGGGCAAGCGACGAGTCGTCGCGGCGTACGAAGAGCTCGTTGCGAAGCGAGTACGCCTTAAGGCCTTAAGCCGTTGTTACGCACGAGAGAGGATTCGACGCGCGTTCCGCGCCGTTAATATATCTTATCGACGGTTCCCCGAGCGCGAAGGTTGGGGGGCGCACCGCGTTTTCGGCGGTACTTTTCCACGCCCGGCTCCCTAATTACCCTAAAGCCGAGCTTACAAGATCTTATCGAGAGGATCGCCGGAGTATGCGGAATCGATTAGGGGGCCCCGTCGATTAGGCGCGCCGGGTTTGTCGCCTCGTTAAGGCGCCCCGACGGTATCACCTGCGCGCGAAATCGTCCCCCATTAAGGAGGCGCGTCCACCTCGTGTCCCACGACGTCGGACGAGACGTTTCATTTTTCTCCCCGTCCGAATGAAATTTCGGACAAAATGTCGAAGCTCGATTCCAAGGGTGGGGCGTCGACCTTCTTCAATAAAAAAAAAAAAGAAAGAAATGAAGGACGTCGTTTCGACCCTCCTGACGGCGAGGGTTTCCCTAGCGACCGCGTCGAAGACACTTGTTGCGCCTCGCCTCGGCAACAAAACGGGCGAACTCGAGAGGGAATATTCCCCGGAGGGGACACGACGCTAACCTGTTGCTCGCCTCGTGCGCCCGTAATCGTAATTGTGGTATTCCACGGAGGTTCGGAGGATAACGCACCATGGAGAGCGCCACGGCGAAGGCCAATGTCAGCCTCCACGTGGAGGTGCTTGCGCGACCACCCGAGTCAAAATGAGGGTCCACGTTAGAAATTGCCCCCCGCCTGAAGAATCGCGACGTTTCCGCGACGGCACCCATCGTCCGGTACCTCCGTCAACGGTCTCCGGGCCCACGTAAACCCGCCTTAACCCCCGGCCGTCTCGCCGTTGGCGAGAAAGCAAGGTGCACGGAAACCCTCCTCTCTCTCTCTCTCCCCTTTTGTGTCAGGTTTCTTTTCAGGAATATGGGAAAAATTTCTCAACCAAAGAGACCGGGGGGACGACCCCACAAAAGGGGACAGAGAGGGTGCCCTCTCGGGTGTACACGTGGGCACGCACGCCACGAAACGGGGCCTCCCCCTCTATCTCGCCCCCCTCTTCCTCGGGCACAAAGGCAGGGCTCCCTCCAAAGACGAGCAACAGGTTCGCGGAGACACGCCAGTACCTTCGTTTTCCCTTTCTTCCCCTCTAGGAGGGAGGCGAGCCCTCGGGAATCGGAGCGAAACCGCGCGGGATAAGGATACTCGCGAGAAATCCCGGAGGAATCGAAATCCTGACCCGGTGGCCCCCTGAAAGTCCCCTTACCCCGCGTCTCCCCGACCGCATCGAACGGCGGTAAAACGCGAACTCTCCAGCGAATCGTCCTGACCCTCTCTAGGAGCCCACCTACGGAACGGTTATGTCACGCGAGGTTGCCGAAACTGACCGACTTAAGCTTTTGCACCGTGCTCGGTCGAACCTAACGGCGTTGCGGAAAGGTCCGACCACGTGGTTGCGCAACGGATAACCTGCCTACTCCTCGGCGTCGAAGAGGGTCCGAACTTCGGCCCTCTCCGAAACCCGACGTTGACACTAGAACTACCAAGACCAGTCAAAATGACTGGTTTCAAATGGCCCATCGTATAAAAAAAAAATTCGCCGGTAGTTCTAGTGTTAACACATTCCGTGCCACGTGTACCACCGGTGGTACACGCAGAGACCCGACCATTAAGGACGATCCGTTCGGATTCTACGAGGCGCTCCGGTGTGAAAAGTAAAGCGAGTTTTCGCGTCTCGGTTATCATTTATTCCTCTCCGGTCGACATCGGAGGCAGGAGAGGAGAGGAGAGACCTCGGGGGCTAGCCGCCGATACCGATCGGCAACGAGTTCCAGCTCCGCTCGCCTCTCGCGCTGCGCGGTTGCCAAGTCGACCGGGCGCTCGCGCGGCCCCGAGCGCGACGAGAGGCGGCAACCGCGCGGCCAATCCACGGATGATAATCGGCCGATAAGGGATCGGCGGACCGTCTAAATCTCGCGAACCGGCGATACCTCCTCTGGATCTCTCGCCGTTTACTTACAGGTCCCTCAGGATTCGTTTCTCGAGGGGTCGACGTTTAAATTTCGTCCTCTCGAGGCGCGAGAATCCGTCGAGTCGGTAGTCAGCGGAACCGCGAGAGACGGGGCCCGACTTTTCCCCCGAGAGAAAACTAGAGAGGAGAGCCCTTCCTCGGTACTTTCGCGCGACCGAAAAGAGAGCGGCTATCCTTCTCTTCATATTTTTTTCCCCTTTTTTTTTCTTCTCCGCGACATTCGAAGAAAGAAGGTCGCGACTTTCCCGAAGAAAGAAAAGAAAAAAAAGAAATCCGAGGACCCGCGGTCCGCCATCTTGCCCAGCGCGACGCTACTCCTCTCTCCTTGAAATTTCCAGAAAACTCTCCCTTCGTCTATATTATTATTTATTTTTTTTTTTCTCGCGAGATTTCCCGAGAGGAGACGGAGGTTACGCCGAATGGATTCGCGAATCCGCTCGATGAAAGTCCCGTCCGAAAGAGTTTCGAGAAATCGGCGCCGAGAGAGAAATTCCCGAAGAAAGTGACTCGACGAGCCTTCGGCCAAACGAACCTCGCGTGTCGCATTCCCGACGATATTCGGCGATAATCGCGGTCCCCCGATATTTTTTTTCTCGCGTCTTCTTTTTTTTTCTCTCCTCTGCCTCCTCCTTCGGCGCCGAGGCCTCCTTGCCGTCGAGTCGTCTCAGGAATAATAACGCGGGAAATGACAAGTGTCCCTCCTTCTCCCCTTCCTCCTCCCCGAGAACGTTCATGCCGGAAATCGTACGACGTACATACATAAAGGCCCGTACACCCCGGTGGTTAAACACCGCATTGCCTGGCGTACCTTCGTCGCCGCGACTCGAACGCCTTTCGTAAACCGATTAATTGGAATTAATTTCCTAATGATGGGACCCATCGCTCTTGGCAAAGATCGACGCAATTTCCCCTTCCTTCGATATCCCCCTTAGTCTCCGAGCGACGAGTAGTCCTCGAAAAAAAAATTTAAAAAAATATCGGAACGGGAATTTCGACCTTCGCGATAAAAAAAAAAAATAATAAGTGTATCTTCCGCCCGGCGGAAGTCCCTCGCCTCGTCGAGCGACCTCGAGATCCTCTTTCGAAATCCCGTCGAGAGGCCCGGAACGAAAATCGCGAAAACACAGCCGCGCTCCTCCCTTTCCCAATCCTCCGCGTTTTATTAAACACGAGCGAGGAGTTTCGACAATTCGCGCATACCCTCGGCAGTGCGAAAAGATGCGTAAACGCACCTCGGTTCGACGACCAAAAGCGCGCCATTTGAGTCGTAATCTCTTCCCATCGATCGGTACAATATTTACGCCGGGGAGCATTGACACCGTAGTTTGCAAAACCGTGAGCGCAATCGGCCGCGAAAAGGCGCGATTACTCGCGACCGATCCTCCCGTGGGTCAAGGTCCTCTCCCGATCGTCGATTTCGCCGTAACGAGGCGATCGTTGGATTTCAATTTAAATTTCTGCTCGATCGAAATTCCCTAAAAAAAAAAAAATGGAGGGAGGTCGACCTCGGTATATCCGTCTCCTGTAAAGGTGGGATTTTCTCTCAAGGTCCTCGCGCCTAAGCGTCTGACAAATCGCGGGAGTTTCGTGAGCAAAGGTGCGCCCTCTCTCATCGTTATCGTCGAAACGCGCGCATGCACCGGCCCGAAAATAACCCGGCGTATCTCGTCGGGTCTTAGCGTAGGTCGTTGCTTATTCTGGAACGGTTTCCCCTCCCCGTCGCCGCTAGAGCGTGCCACGGTCCGTGACACGAAACACTCTTGGCCGCTCGGGGGGTCCGGGGAACCGTGTTTATTTTCCCTTCCCCGCTCCCTCTCCTCGCCCGAGAAGCCGACCGGGTCGCGACTCATCGCCGAGAAGTCCGGACTTCTCCCAAGACCCACCGGAATCGAGCCCCCTAGATTCGATCGATTTATTCCAATACCCCATGCGCGAGGAATTTCCAATTCGTCAAAAATCCATTAACATGCGATGGGTCGAAAATCGCGCGACGAGAGGCGAAGAACCCCACGTGGCCTCGCTCCAAAATGGCGAATCTCTCGCGACTCGAAATTCAGCCTGGAATAATTGCGAGTTCGCTTCTAACGGGACGGGAATTATTTTTCCTCGGAATTTTCGGGACATTTTCCATAGTTACTTTCCGGCCGCCGGTCGACCACGTGTCGGCGGCCATCTCGTAGAGTCGGGCACTGTTAATAATTAGCGCGCCTTCGGCGAGGTCGTTCCCGGCGTCTCCTCGCGGGATATAACCCTCTCGAGAGGAGAAACTCACCTCGCGAGGTGAAACCAAAGAGAGTATCCGTCGACTCGGTCCGTCCGGCAGAGGGAGAGAGGCGAGAGTCGTTCCCTAGCGAGCGAGCGCGCGCGTACCTTTTATTTATCCGGGGGTCCTTGTCGCTCCGCCGGCCGGCCGGCGCGTTCTCTCTCTCTCTCGCGCTCCGACCAGTCCGTGCCTGCTCCGGCGAGTACCGACGCGAGCAAGAGAGCCCGTATCCCCCGCGCGGAAACCCACAAAATTCTCCTTCCCGAGAAAATACTGCCTCGTCGGTCGTACCCCGAATCTGGATTTTTATACCGAGAGCGACGATTGGCAGGATTTCCCAAACGTAAATCCTGAATATTAATTCGATTCTCCTCGATGGGAATATTTTTTACACGGCGTGGTAACGGGATTTTTTTCGGACGCCCCGACCAGGGAGTGCCGGTCTGGATCGTTTCGGTCCCTCCGTGAGTTCCGAGTCGAGCGCGATCGAATTAACCTCGCCTATCGCTAGTCGAGCGTGCTCGACCGAGCCTACTTACACGAGCGTGAATCCGGACCGGTCGGGCTCTCGAACCCGCCATATCGCTAGTCGGGACGCTGAAAATGGGCTCACCTGAAAGATGTGCTCCCCGGCCTCGAACATGAGGGTGCTCATGACGGCGGTCGACATGTCGCGCGTCAGGGGCCGTGGCGGTCCACCGCGTCGGGCGTCTCAGGGGTCCAGAGCGCGAGGTGGAGCGCGCGCCGGCGCTCCGGTCTCGGGTAGAAGTCGCGCTCGGGTCCGCGCAGGAGGTGCGCAGAGGGTCGCGCGAGGAGCCGTCAACTCGGAGCACAAAAACTGCCACTGGTCAGCCGTTTTCTCGTAGTTACGCGTGCGCGCGCCGGCTCGAGAAGGAGGTTAGGAGACAAAAACCGGCGCGGTGGGCGGATACGCGGGTCTTCCTCTCGCGCTCCTTCTCCGTCCGTCTCGCTCGCGGGGACCGTCCGAGAGATTACGGGCCACGGAGGGGTCGACTACTTAAAAAACTTGGCACTTTTTCGGTCCGACGACTCGCGGTCCTCTGGGCACGTTCGGCGGGAGTTCCCACTCGAGGTCTGACTCGCAAGGCGCCCGAAAGCTGACTGACGCACCGCCCGCCGGCCGGCCGAGGCGCCGCCGCGCGGCGGCGAGCGACCGAGCGCCGACCAATCGCGCGGGCCTGCGCCCCCCCACTCCGCCGCCCGAGGACCCGACCAATCACGGAAATGCCCGACAACCCCGCGACGCTTCCTAACCTTGCACCCCGGCACTCTCGCAACCCTCCGGAGCCGAGCGCCCATTGGTCCACCGGGAAGACTCACCCCTCTCGATAACCCGGCGCCCCACCTCTACGCGACGCGAGAGGTTAGGTTCGATTCCCCGCGCGTCCGAACCATGGACCACGGATGCTGGATCGCGTCGATTCGTCCGCGCTAGGCTAATGTTATTCCCTTCGCTGGACCGGGTCGACGAGGGTTAAGAAGAGAAAACCGGAGGGAATTAATTCGGGCGTTTCGAGAGCGCCTCGGAATCGGGTGGAACGACGTCGAGCGTTGGGTTCCCTCGCCCGGGAGGCGTCTCCAACCCCCGCGATCCCCATTGGTCCAGCGCCCCCGGCCGCTTTCGTCGCTCCCCACCAGCGGGCGCCGCTGCTCCCAGACTGCGTCGAGACTGCCGAAGAGGTTGGCTTCCAAGAGAGACGCTCCGGAGTCGAGGGAAAACGATGCCGCGCTCGGACCGATGGATCCTGCAACGGATGAGCTTCGGAAAAATCCTCCTCTCCCCTGGCGTCGAAAGAAAAAATAATCATGCTCCAGGAGAGGACACGGACTCCCGGGATGAGAATAAAATATGAAGAAAGCAACGTTTTGCAGTTTTTTTTATTTCCTTTCCTCTCCTTTCCAGATCCGGGAGATAAACGCAGGTGCATCCTCGCGATAACCCCCGGCCCTTTTCGGACCCTCCGGCATCGGACCTTATTGGTCGGGCAAGTTTGCCCTCTCGACCCTCCCTTCCCTCCGATCGCTCGCAACCAGTTCCGAATCGCCCCTCTTCTCCGGAGGTTCGCCCCGTCGACCTCGAGACGGTTTCGCAACATCTTTCCTCCACGCTCCTAGGTGCCCGGTTAAAGGGAAGCATATCGACCGGCGACTCGTGGAAGCGCTCTCATTTTCGGCAATCGTTCGATTCGCCCCTTCGCGTCTCCCGAAAATCGGGTTCGTTGCGTTCCTCCGTTTTCGGGTGAACGGAGTCGTTATGCTCGTTATTAGGCCGAGCTCAATTTTGTCTGAGTCGCGTCGCCTTTTTTTTACGAAGAAAGAAAAAAAGGGAAACAAAATCGACGCCGCGGTCGAGCCCGCAGTCGATCGAGATATCGCGGGCCCGAACGCTGGCGCACCGAGGCCCCATTGGTCCATGGGATCCCGAAACCACCTCCACCTCTCCGACCATTCCGCAACCAGTTCCGAATCTCCTCTCCTCCCGGACTTGCTGGACCCGTCCAGGCCTCCTGGGACGTCGTAGGAGGTTGCGAGCGAGATGCGAGAAGGTGCCCTGGAAATCGATCGGGTCTCGACTTTCCTCCGGAGATCGGGAAAGCGGAATAAGGGCGTTATCGCCCGAGTTAGGTCAGGGGGGCCGTTTCGAAAACTCGATATCAGGTTTTCGGGGCGCCGGCTCGCCTCGGTGGATTTGGCAGCCGACGAGGAGTCGGCCGAGCGAGCTGGCACCGAGAGCGGAACCATGAATGAAGCCTAACCTCTATTCACGCGGCCAGACCGCAAGTCCTAAACAGTAATTATTGCCGTTGTTATCGCTGCGCCGTGCCCGCGGTCCGCCGGCTAATGGCGGCCTCCGTCGCGACGCCTCGGACATTCGACGGCGCGTCGCGGCCATATTTTTATTCCGTCGGTCTTATTCGACTATCCCTACATTTTTTAGGATATTTTCGTCGGTCCGCTGGAATCGGAATCGCGGGATAACGAGGGCCGGGATTTCCATGTCCTCTGGGAACGCCGGATGCCCCGTCGAACGACGATATCTCCCTGCGAGCCACCCGCATATCCCATACGGTGTCGGTCAGGCCACCATGACGAGGGCGCCCATTAAGTGCCACGTGTATATTTAGAGGCATGAGAATCCGTGTCCCCGGGGGTTGGTAACACCCCCGTGGTCCGTTCCCAGTCCGGGACGCCCCTATTTGCCCCTATGCCGCGAGGGCCCGTCGAGGGGCCCTAATTGGCCCCGAGTCCGACACGCCGACAGAACCGATCCCCCTCTGCGCGCGAGGGAAAAAAGGAAAAATCCTTTCTTCCCTCCCTCTTTTTATACACAAGAGTTTTTCCTCATACGTTGTACGTACGTTTCGGGGAGGCGGAGATTTCTCTCCCGGAGCAGGTTTTTAGACATTTTGTCATCGCTGACAGGGAATGATCGCGGCTCTAAAGTGTTCCAAGGGGGCCCACTGAATTTTCTCGCGAGTCGTTTAGACGCGACCGTGTACGCGCGGTTGACACGCGGGTGAAAGGAAAACGACTGGGTTTTAGAGCTGGAGTCTCCGACCCAAAATTACTTTTGATCGAGGGAAAAAATCGGGGATGCGCTCTCCGCTTTTGGTTAAGTACGGTGCCTTGGGAGGGCCTTTGTTTTTAGCGACAGGAGCCTTCACGTCGCCCCTCGGCGTGTGACAGTTTCCCCGTGGTGTTTTCTTGCTCGCGTGTGCGTTTCGCTCTTTCCTCCTGGCCGAGTCGTAAGAAAGAGCGCTCGGGACCTCCGACCGAGCTCGCGAGGACTCCCGCCCTTCCTACTCTCGACCCGCCGGCTCTACGGCCGAGTTTCGTCCGCGCGGGACGCCCCGTCTCGGAGCCGTAAGAGCGGATGTCCATGCGCAAGTGCGCCGACATCTGCCGGACACTTGGGGACTCATCGGCAAACGCGCAAAACGTCCCGAAGCGTCGCAGATGTCGAGCAGACGCGCAAGACCGGGCCTCGTGGGAGAAAAAGGGATGGTTTTTGGATTTAAAGGATGTCCCGCGGGACAGGAATCTTTTTTTTCAGGAATTTTCAGAGGGTCTCAAGAATCGACAAAAAGTTTCTCAGCTATTTATTCCACATTGGTTACAGATATTACATACATTATTTTCAGGTTTTGGCGCATGCGCGTGACGGTCCAGGAAACGATAGATGACGGTGATTGCTCGAAGTTTACGCGGATAAACAGGAAGCAGCGCAACGTTTATCGCGAGTTCAACGAACTCGGCGAGTGACTATAATCGAATATCGTTGCCCGTTCGCAATATCTTTGTTATTAAGTCATTCAGCTCGGCCGACACTTGGATGCGTTATAAAGTGCCTCTCGTTATTTCTATTCCGGTGATCCGGGAATATATATCCGAGCTAACGACGCGCAGCTTACGCGATATGGAGCATATTGTGTCGGACGAACACGAACGCGTGTACCTCGGAAACGCTCCAGAAATACTTAATTAGAGGATATGAATAAATTAGTCCGTCAGACATGTAGATTTTGCGAGAATTCTGCGACTTTCGCAAATGATAAGCCGAAATTAACGCGAGCCATCTCTTATCAAGGTGGTCCGTTAACGCGAGCGGAAGTGAAACCCGCGGAACCGGGGATAACGATTTATCCCCCGTTCTTCCGCACGACCTGCCACGGAATTTCTCTACATAGCGTTACATAAAGTTTCGGCTAAAAAATCACATGGACATTCCGACGTTACGACACCACTAGGAACCTTCGTTGCAACGAAGCTGCAAAGTGCGCGCAACGATAACGGGGTCAACTTCTTTTTTCCCCGTGAGCGCGATCCGCCACCTTTTGATCTTGTCGAGACAGGGTAATATATTTCTAATGCGTGATCGGCCACACCGAGAGGCATGAATTAAACGTAATTCGTCTACCGGTTCTCGAGATGACACGCGGATATCACGGATCAAGGTATCGATCCGTGAACCCTAACGTCATGTATTAGAGTACTCGAGTACACGCGCAATGAGTGCAACCTGACGACATCGACATAACCGAGGGAGAGAAAAAGGAACGCGGCCGATAAGCGATCGATCGACCGATCGATTCCGCATATCGAGAGGATCTCCTGGGGATCGATCACGCGATAACGCCGATTGCTCGAGCCTTGTTTGGCTCCGGTTCGGATCTGCGATTAGATGTCGCGGCGTTATCCCCAATATCAATTAAATGCCTCCGATAACGCGAAAAAGGCATCCGTTGTGCGGAGGCCTCGAAGTAAGTCTCCCCTTGATCCGCTTCCTTATTTTCTCGCAGCAGATAATCGACTACAACGAATCGATGTCCTCCCCCGTATCGTCCCCGCACACTAAAGCTTTGTCCTCGTTATCGGAATTATCACCGACCGTGTCACCGGGCTCCACTCGAAGATGCTTCGATTTCTCGTGGAAATCGGGATTCATGACGCGGCCCGATAAGGCGAACGTCACGAAAGCACTTTTGCCTACATGCAGGAAGGCGAAGCACCCTGGTCACGTAATTCGATGATGGAGCATCCCGAGGATAATTAATCAGAAATTCGATTAAGACCGTATCTATCGCGGCGATCGGGTTATCTCTCCCTCGAAGCAATTTTCCTTGAGGAAGATTTTAACCGGCTGTCGAGTCAAAAAGCACTATTTCAAGTCCCGTTCCCGCGGGTACACGTGGGCGCAGCGAAAAAGGTAAATGGTAAATGGTAAATGGTGTGCCGCGAACAGAGGGGAAAAACGGGAATCGGGATTCACGAGAGCGGAGAGTCGGTCGAGGATCAGGGCGAGGTTACGTCCGTCCCGTTGGGCCCGGAGCTTCGAATTATCCGCGTCAGCGTTATCACGACACGATCGGCAGAACAGGTCCGGCGAGGCTCGTTACAGCCGAGGGTTCGAGGGGTCTTGCCCTCTCTCTTCCTCTCTCGAGTCCTCCTTCCGAGAACGACATAAGGAAGCCTCTCCGCAGCGAGTGGTTCGTGGAAGTTCGAGGTGGTTATCGCGATCCCTGATACGCGCCCTCGCGAGTTATCGCGACCATTGGGGGCGGCCTGTTCGATCGATCGCCTCGGATGGTCTCCATCCTCCCTTCCTTCGCTTCCTCGTCGTCTCCCTGGACCTCTCGATCCTGCAGCTCTGCAAAAGGATAGAAAAATATAAGGACGATGTTTTCTCCCTTTTGAAATTTTTCTTTCGTTAAGTCGTACCTCCACGGGAGAAAGGTAAAAGGAGGGTCCTTCGGTGGGCCCGTGTGTGCTTATTTATTAAAGTTACTTAACGGGCGGGCTTCTTTCCCTCCCTCGGCGCTTCCATCTCGTCCCGAGAGTCTTTTCGCTTCCTTTTTCCCGTCTCCCTTTTAAGCCCGTCCCGGCGCTATTTGTATTCACCTGCATCGTGTTTGTCCTGCGCCCAGGTAAAGCGAGGCGCAGGAGAGGAGAGTAAACGATAATAAAGAAGACGAGATGGGACGGACCCCTTTCGGCGGAACGTCCGCGCCGAAAAGAAGACCCTTGTTGTAATTCGTTATCCCGGTGCCCGTTCATTACCGTCCTCGCGGTCCTAAGTACCCGATCCATCCTGCGTGGTAAATAAATTTCCCGGGAATTAATCGCGACGAAGGTCGCGGCACTTTGAGATTTTCTTTTCGTTTCGGCGAGCCGGAAAAATTTATTTATAGGTATTTTAAAAATTGTATATAAAAAATTAAATTTCCCGAGTTTCAGGGTTTTAGCTGAAACCTTAGGGTTTCCATTTTCACGTATTAAAGAATGAAACGATTTGAGACACCCAGTTGGTGGAAAAGTTTTATGAACGATCGAGCTTTCGGATGCCACTTTCACATCCCCTTAAGGCCCGGAGTAAGTCCGCGATCTCGCCGATCTAAGATGGCAGGATCGAAGAGGCCGAGCGGGGATCGTTCCTGGAATCGTAAAGGCCAAGGCAACGGGCACCGGGGATCGGCCACCGAGAGGAAAACCGGCCGACGAGCCGGCGAGAAAAATCGACTCGCGTAACGCCACCTTAAGGGGACGCCGAAGGTGATTTCTTGCCGTCCAAGTATGCCAACGTGGCGGTCCCCTCGCGCGATTCCCCAAATCTCTCTCCAAGTACTCTACGAAATTTATTTCCACATCCGTGGAAGAACGAACGGACGAATTTTCCGGGACGAGCCGCGGCCACTTTCCCGCCCTAACCTAGGACAAGCCAACCCGCGTTGAGCTCCGCTAAGTGCGGCCGCACCGAGCGAGCGAGTAAATACTACTCGCTCTCGTGCAGCTCTCACTTTCTCGCTCTCTCCGCTAGGCGAACTCGCGAACGCGCTATCCCGATCGCTCGCTTTCACGTTTCGCGTTAATTTCGACCCGGCGATAAGCGTATCCATTGCGCAAGCGCCGATTTCCGTCCCCCGGACGAGCGATCGGAAGCGTGCCCCACGTGCGTCTACGACCCTCTCCCGATCCACCCCCGACTTTTCAACGCTTTTGGGGAATTTGGAATTAAATGGCGATCGCGAGAATCGCAAAACCGATTAACAGGCTTCCGGTCGGGAAAAGGTTAAGAAGGAAATTTCCGGAATTTAATTTTCTGCATTTTTTTGCCTCTCGGAGAATTTCCCGCCCGGGCTCGACGAACCGCGCGTCGACAAAATGGCCGCGCGATAGGTCGGCTTAATTTTCTGCCCGCGTACTCCACCACGGGCACCGGAATTCCCGATGACGGGAGACACGGAGAAAGAGGCTCTCTCGCGGTGAATAATTTTGGAAAGACGGACGGAAAGAGGCGAGAACCCTCGGCCAGAGGCTCGCGCACTCCGAGGGGACTTTCACCGGCGTTGACTTTCCCTTTCTCCGGCGAGTCTCTGTCTCTGGTCTCTGGTGCGCGATCTCGTTTACCGGAAACGGCGGCCAGCCAGCCCACTTCCGGTTGCGACCACGCGAGCCGAGCCCCGGCGTCGGGCTTATTTTCGTTCCCTTTTATCCGCTTATTTGTTGATTCCTCGACTTCTTTCCAAACGCCGCGAGTCACGCTCGGTTTCCTCCTCTCTTGGTCGGGAGGGGGGAATTCATCCAGCGCGTTTGTTATAAATAATTAATTATACTAACCCCTTAACTTGTGGGCTCGAGTTAATTCCAGCGCGCTAAACAGGCCAAACAGTGCACACTCGAGATAATTCGAGCGCCGTTGTATTTTATCCTACTATAATTTTTCACCCTCGAATATAATCGAGAATTTTATTTTTTTTCCCAAGACAATGTTCTAGTGTTTTTCTTACATAAAAAAAAAATTGATTATTTTTGGCCGGTTTTTGAAAAAAAATCTGTGCGTTAAGGGGTTAACGGGGTTCGAGCCGAGTTTATTTTTTAATATTATATATGTTATATATATTATATCCATATCACCTTAGGGCGATCCACGGGGGACCCTTTCGCCGAGTCGAGGCCCCGCTCGTGCGTTTCCTCGAGATCCGGGAAACGACGTGGAAAATGGATCCCGATGCCGCGACCTCGTGCCCGGAGTCGATTTCACGAAGGAAACGATCCCGCGAAGGTAACTCGGCCATTGCGGAGGGACCGCCCGGAGACGGTCGTGGAAAAAAGCGAAAGAGCCTCGGTCTTCCGCGAACGATAAATCACCCGATTTTTACAAAGGCCGGCATTGTGACGTCACCGCGGTTGCGGTGGCCATTGACCAAGGAAAGTTCGGATTCGCGAACCCGACCGAGCCTCCGTAGCTCCGCACTCGAGACGGAGGATCGAAACGCGGAGTCGCCACATCCGGTGCTGGCTGCGCATCGGCCAGCTGCGAACGACCGGGGCATCCTTGACAATTGGTCGTAACTAAAATGACATCAGTGGTCCCGGAACTTCAATTCGGGAGAAAGTTGGAATTTTCGAAAATCCGCGACTCGGCGAACGAAAATCAGCCTCGGGGGAGAAACGCCCTCGAGCGTTGCGAAAGAGGCGGGATTACCGCAATCATCGCCGACCGACGGAATCGCTCGTCCCCGGGAGGTATTTTTCTCGATACGTCCGGGTCGCCAATTTCCCGGTGTCGTGCTCGGTCTCGAATTACGGAGCGCGATATGACGGTGCTCGTCCTCGAGATCGACGGAACGGCCGGACAGGTACGAGTAATCCAAGCAGCCGGCTCGCGCACGTGATTCACCGGCAATTTTTTCCGAGAATCTTGCCTCGTTCCAGGCACCGTTCTTTTCCTGCTCTCCCACCCGGGGAAACATACGACTACTTGGCCGCGAAAACCGAGGCAAACGCGCGTGCCGGTCGATCGGTTAAACGTCACCTTCTCGGCGTAATTGCCCGAAACAAAGAGAATAAAGGCGTCGGTAGATGCAAAGAGAACTGTCAGCTGGAAAATGTCGCGAGAGGGGGCAGCGGGAATTTTCACTCTCCCTCTTTTCCCCTAATAGCGAAAGAACGCTCGCGGGGATCCCGCGTCTCCTGAGTGCGCGCGCAGCTCGCGGCCATCACGTGGTCGCGCGGGGCGCGCGTTGGCGGCGCCGGACGTCGGTCCGTCGGCGAGGGCGTCGCTTACGCACAGGTGGACGCGATCGCGAGTGGAAATTTCCACTCGCTTCTTAATCGTCGGGAGGGCGTATCCACTCTCCAGTGCGTCGCACCGAGCGTTGCACTTAGCCGTTTCTTTCCCCCGTTTCACCTCTGGAATCAGGGGCGACTTTGTTCGTCCTTTTTTCCATGCCTCGCTCTTTCTCTCTCCTTCGTCGGATGTTGACGAATTCGAGGCGTCGCGCGTGTCGATCGGAGTCCCCTTTTCCCCCTTGGGTAAGGGCGATACGCGCACCAGTTCGGGAGGGAATAATTATTAATGCAAAGGGGCCGCTTTAATCCCCCCGGAGTATGTTTCGCGGCTGGCTTTCGACCACTTCCGGTCTGGAATTAGAAGCGCCAATAAAGGACCGAGCCCGGCATAGAGACCCCGTTGTTTGACCAAGTGCGCGGCAGAAGCCTTGAATTCGTTCGATAGGGGGAGAGAAAAGGGCGGAAGGGTGGAGGGACCGGGAGGAACGGACCAAGGAGAGAAAAGGATGTCGGGAAAGGCGTGGTATCAAGCGGCAAAAGGCATCGCGGAGCTGCGTGGGTCGGGTCGACTTCCTCCCTCCGTCTCGTCGGGACGGAAAAGTATGACAAGTGGGAATATTACTCGTTTCTCCTCGCTCGAGTCGAGAACCGGAAAGCGCGTCCTTCTCGCTCTCTCCTCGATCGCGAAATCCGCTTCCGCTCGCCCTGCCCCTTTCTCCCCACGTGGAATATAAATATATTTCAAAGATACGCGTGATAGGTATATTTCCCTATACAAAAAAATATACATCTTTCAAACGTATTTAATTCCACGCTAGGGCGAAACTCTTTCGAAAATCGAGAAAAAGTAGCGTCCCCTCGTATCATCAATACGCGTGAGAAGTATATTTCCCTATACAAAAAAATATATATATTTCAGACGTATTTGTTTGCACGCTAGAGCCAAACTCTTTGGAAAATCGAGGAAAAGTAGCGTCCCCTCGTATCGTCAATACACGTGAAAGGTATATCTCTCTATACAAAAAAATATACATCTTTCAAACGTATTTGTTTCCACGCTAGGGCGAAACTCTTTCGAAAATCGAGAAAAAGTAGCGTCCCCTCGTATCGTCAATACGCGTGAGAGGTATATTTCCCTATAAAAAAAAATATACATCTGTCAAACGTATTTGTTTCCACGCTAGGGCGAAACTCTTTCGAAAATCGAGAAAAAGGAGCGTCCCCTCGTATCGTCAATACGCGTGAGAGGTATATTTCCCTATAAAAAAAAATATATATCTTTCAAACGTATTTAATTCCACGCTAGGGCGAAACTCGTTCGAAAATCGAGAAAAAGTAGCGTCCCCTCGTATCGTCAATACGCGTGAAAGATATATTTCTCTATACAAAAAAATATACATCTTTCAAGCATATTTGTTTCCACGCCAGGGCGAAACTCTTTCGAAAATCGAGAAAAAGGAGCGTCCCCTCGTATCGTCACGTCCGCGGCGATTAATTCCCCCGAGGAGGTAGCTCTCTCGTCTCGGGTGCGGTGATAAGGAAAATGCAGACTTGGATAGATTCCTTGCCCGCGGGGCT